ATATATGTTAAAACACTCGAACTGATCGATGACGTCTTTATTTTCTTAAAACAAAGATTTACGGAGAAATAGCTTTCTGGGTATACTGATTCTTTTCCTGTGTTTGTGTAGGTACTTCGACACTAATGGATATGTTGTGTTCGTGTGTTAATTCAATTAGCCGACAGACGCTGCTCAATCAACGGTACTCATTGTTTTTGGCACAATGAAATCTTCAGTTGACCTTTAAACGTCCAGACTTATACTATATATGGACTTATGTCTTCTTGAACTGTTATATTTATTTAGTCTACGGGTTTCTTGGTTTTGTTATGGCTAAAATTTGAAATTAACATACATATGGTAAGTATACTCAATGGTAAAATACATTTTTTATTTATTTTCATAGTGGCTTTGTGATCAAAGATTATCGTATTATGTCAGAAATCAGTGTATTAATAAGAAAAACGAAACATTTTCCTTTTTATTGGAAATGCGACAGAATGGAAATTTTATTGCGTGTTGTCTCTGTTCATTCACAGACCGAATTATCTTAGTACCACAAATAGGTGCCGTCTACAAATATTTACTCAAGATAGCTTGCTCAGAAGTATAATACTAATCTGGTCATGACGTAGCAATTGTGTGTTGATACTCTTAATTAGTGTATTGCTAAATATGAGAAAACTGTGTTAACAGAATTTTCATTGATATGAATGATTAAAATGGAGCAACTTTTAAAATTGCAATTTGGTGGATTCAAGGGTATAAAAGTAATAAGTTCATGCTCCACGTTTTGAATTAATCGTTTTAATCGTTTTGTAAAAAAAAGAAAGCCGGGGACTAAAACTGATAAGAAAAACCTTTATTTTTTCACTTTGGCAGCATCATATACGTTGTATGAACAGAAAATAAGTAAATATTTTTCATATTATTTGTATTGTCGCCCAAAGGTTCGCTCCTGGCAATCGTCAAATATGAATAAAAAAACCTGATCTTGTTCCGTGTACAGTTATCCGCGGAGCATTAAGTAATCGGAGCCGAGAGCGTCGAGATAATGTTGTGTACGCGTGAAATATATCCGAGCGTTTTTATTGCGACCGCGTTCCGAACTGGTATGCGTCGCTGCGCCGAAGAAATTCTGTCAACGAGTGGTTTGCCTCTCGACGACCTTGTCGCACGCGCAGCCTCTCCCTGCGCTACTACTGGGCCTGCCGCAGCCGCCTCCGTGAAAGTAGGTGACGCCCGCTCCACCAGCACGCCAGTCTTCAATCCAAGCCCTCCGCTCGAGTTTAAAAACTGCTTTCTAAATACATCGCCCATGATATAAATAGTTTTTGAAAATGTTCAGAACGTATTGATGTGTTATGACAGCGATTTTCACATATGTACGTGTTACGTGATGGTAGTATTTTAGGAAGCTAATTAAGGAAATTTTCATAGCATTGATTAGCACCAATTATAATGGTCTATAAAAAGTAATCCTATGATGTTAATTAGCGTTTTATGAATAAATTATTTTTGTCTCGAGCAGTTATGAATTATCCATTTCATTTAGTGCGGATTAGGGTATTTTTCAATAGTTAGGTTATTTTTTTTTTGTTAATATTCCCGTTGGAAATTTTATTTTATTAATATTTTTAAAATTTTTGTATTTAGATGTATTGTTACTTAAGTCATTTGGTAATAGGACACATAATTTGAGCACTACGGAAAATAACTTATAGTAACTTCATCCTGCATCATGATATGGAACATTATGAAGAATGTTATCAATAGCTTATGCAATTTCTCCGAAGACTGGCCATTGTTAATGTTGGTAACAAATGAAACTAAAGACATTCCACTGAATGCTTACCACGGGATTCCAGGATTACTCAGTGCCCACACAATTTGTCAGAGATTGCCTAATCTGTGATTTTCTTTTGTCAGTCGATTGGAATCAGTGTGTGATAGGAACAGTGCCGCAACTTGCCCCTTAATGGAAATCCCAATGGTAAGATCACAAAAACACTATATAGTTAATCAGCGTGATTTATTTGAGTTGTGCTCATATCATTATAAATTATTTTAATAATGCCAACATAACTCTGCGCTAAGTAATGATAATTATATATCAAGTTTTTTATTGCCTCTATTGTCCGATTGGTATTTGTCGATTCAACAATGGGCTTGTGGATGGCAAAAAATGAAACAATACTGGTAGCAACAAGGCTGCTACTAACTTTGATCCGAGTGTCTGGTGGTGCTACCACCACGCCTTTGTTTATCATTATAATATTAGCAGTGACCAGTCTACTAATTGTGTTAGTATACTGAACAAGAATTATTAAGATATTATATGTACTCATAAGACACGATGGTACGCCTTTATGAATATTTAAAGATTTTATTCATTCTTATTTATAAAGGAACTGTTTTGTTTTGGGCATGTTCAGAACGTTTCTATAAATAAGTTAGTATTTAAGTACGTAGGTATAAAATGTTATAACATAACATCCTGAATTTTCGAACGTGCAATTTTTTTTATATAAAAATAGAATGAGATATAACGGTGTACGACAGTAGGCAGTCGGGGACGGTTATCAAACGTGCCCCAGCTCACATTCGGTTCATTTCAATTATAATAACTAATAAATTAATTTATTATCGCGTACGAAACTATTATGCTACATGGAGTTCCGACATGACAGCAAAAAGAAGAAGTAGCCCGTTTCAATTATGCTTTTGTAATTTTTTACTGTTAACATGCCTAAACACAATTATGTAGGAGGATTTGAAACCGGAACTGGCCTAATTGACAATATTCGTATGGCGATTCTCCGGCTGCGCCCCACTCTCGATGCGTTCTGTAAACGCACTTATTATGAACCACTTTTTGCTCAACGTTGTAATTATTAATGAATAAATGCTATATGTCCGAGCATGAGGTCAACGTTCTCGTGGTATGCTGTAAAAAATGCGCTAAGGACGCCAGTTCGGTATTCTATCAACTGTAGAATCGAACAACGAATACATTAATAAACCGAGTCCTTTGCGCGATAAGTATAAAGTTTAAATTTAAATTATAAAAAGGGTAGCAATCGGTGGCATTGACCGTACCACTATGTTCGGGGTCGTTAAGTCTGATTAGTTTTGAATAATTAATTAAGCTTTTATTCGCGAAACATGCTTGTTAAATATTATCCTGGTTGACTGGACCTATAGGATTGCGTTGTCGACATTTTGATCGGTGGTAACTATATTTGTGCCCAGCCGCGTTTGATAAAGTAAGCAGATTATATTAATTAGCTGTTATTATTCGTGCTTCATATTAACTTATTAAAATATCTAATGTATGAACTGGTTTTTTAAATGTCACTTAATTGGTCCCGATAATTCAGTGGTTTAGCGTGTTGATTTTTTCATGTTGATAATTTACAGTCAGAAAAGAAACTTAACTAAGCAGGTTAGATTGTTGTTCTTTTATTAGTTTCACATGATTACAAAACAAAAGAAGTTATGATTTGACAAAAAAGTTTCTTTAACGATATACCTAATATTCCTGTAATGAATCAATGTTATGTTTTTATATTATGTTATTTGAAATCATATCTATATAGTTTCGTTCTAAACGCAGTTCAGTTGGTACCGTTGCACAGTGAATATTTGCGTCATCTGGGACGGGTGTAGGGTTCATATATCAATGGAGACTTTACAAGACTTTGTTATTATTTTTTGCGATACATTATATTAAATTCAAATCTCTTTCCAAAGTTGATGTAAGTTTGAAATAATTTTGTCTAATTACAAATAAATTTCTTTCTGTAATGAGGTATTCAGTAAATAGAATTAAAATATTGTTAATTAGATTCTAATATCTACTTTTATTTACTATTATTATAAAAATAAAATATTTGAATATTTTTTTGCATTAGAAAGGCTCCAAAACGACTGGACCTATTTTTAAAATTCTTTCAGTTACGGGAAGCTACATCATATGCGGATACATAGGCTATAATTTACGCAGCGAACTAAAAAAACAGACAATGAAGAAGTATCAACATAAAAGTACATACATCATATTAAACTGGGCAACTTAAGATTGTGTGTAATTAAATTATATTTATTTGTATCCTTTATTATCTAAACGTGTGGTGACCCTAGTCAAACGTGATACCCACATGCGGTCATCCGAGGGTCGGGTGAGTGCTGAGACGTGGAAGTCGCAGGCTCGTAAAGCTGCGATCTCACTGTGACCACATACTGCATTATCAATCGGCATTGAAAATACTCACTGCATATCTAACCTACTAAGAGCGCTGCTGATCTTTGGATTTTTAGATTGAGTATGTTTTTGGGTCGCCTACCGCTATGTCATTAACTTATATCGTGTGATGTCAACGAGTGTCTCCACGGACGTAAATTGAACTAGGACAAATATTGGGAAACTGGCAGCTCAAAATATATTTGTCAAACAAGATAGCACAGTGTTGGCACGTTTTGTCTGTAATACGGAGTTCAAGTAATATTCGCAAGGATCGGTCATCCAAAATGGATGGGTGTCCAAAAACTTATCATTTCGAAAAGACACGTTAAGCATCTGCAGTGTTAACACCGACCAGCATAGGCCCGCGTGGTATGTCATGGCACTTTCTACTTTAAGACCTGTGTCTTTGCATTGAAGACAATAAGCCGATGGTGATCAGACAATCATTCGCAAGTAGTTATATTGCATATGCTTGTTTTAGGTTCTTGTGTGTAAGTCTTGTTGTCAATGCTAAATTGATCAAATATAATAATTAGAACGAATTTTCATCTTTATCCAAAGTTTAAAATATTTGTAAAAATATGGCTGTTTGGTTGGATTTCCTGAACATTGCTAAAAATACGCTCTATAGTAGCGAAAAGTAACAATTCGTCAGTCCTATTAAGTCCTGGGTACGAAAGGTCATTGGTTCAAATCACATATCAGAGTACCAGGGACAAAGTAGATTTTTTAAGCATAGTGGATATTATAAGTATTTTGTTATTTGTTGCAGGTGTTGCGCACAAGTGGCGTGGCGCAAGGGTGTGATGCGAGGGAAGCTGGGCGGCGGGCGCCGGCACCGCGAGTAGTCGCGACCATGCAGGTGCCGCTTCGCACCTCACGCGCTGCCGCTTGCCTGCTTGTGCTCGCCGCCGCTCTCGTCGACCACGCCGTTGTTGCATCCACCGGCGTAATCAGTAAGTATTTTATTAATACTACTTAAATTCGTTGCGTTTTTCCCTTTAAATATGCTTTGTGACGTGATAAGGCCAGGTACACGTTTATCACTCCCACCTCGCTTGCACGTGTTGACAAATATGTTTTGCACGTTCTTGCTTGAAAGGCAGTTTATATCAATGGTTTCGATCGAATTTGTAGTTGTTAATACTCACGAATCCGTATTAGGCCTACGTCATGGTCCGTTCTCTATATATAATTTTATTCACGGGCATTTGTTGGCTTAGGTATGTGTTAGCAGCAGCAGTTGCTGTAGACAAGATCAGACTAGAAGTATGATCTTTGAGAGTATTCCGTTATTTACATTATTTAAGATGGATGGAATACTTTACCGTGTATGTATTGTTCTTCCATGTTTAGTAGATGTTTGTATTTACACTTTTTCTCCTGTTTGATAAACCTAATCAATCTAACAAACTATCCGTTTGGACTCAGGATGAATAATGAAATGCCAGTCTATTATAGGCGAGTGTTATCTATGGGTAAATACCCATGACGGCAATTGGCGAAAAAGCTAAGATATCTGTACAAGCATATGTTGATTTATGATAATATTATTTATGCAGGAAAGGCTCTATGAATAATAGACACTGTTCTACGATCAATGCGTAATAGTTACTCAATCTGCTATTATGGGTGTGATTCTTGATTACTCTGTAGAATATCATTTATTTAACAATTTGTGATTAATAAAGTCTAAATTAAAAAGTGGTTTTCAGATGTCCGACTATATACTTTATAGTATTATAAAGAATTATAAGGTTAGATTGTTTGATTTGAAAAATTAATTTTCCCATTAGATTCTTACATTATTCCTGATAAACATAGGTGATAGCAAATTTCCTAAAACGTAGCGATATATTGCATAATATGGCTGTATGGTTGGATTTACCCGTTATAATATATAGTACACGGAGTTTTGGAAATTGCACTCCGAAAGGGACCAAAAAGGGCATTTTTGCGTAGACATTATAGAAACAGATTAGATTTATGTTTAAAGTTTTCAGAGATAAAGTACTGTAATATATTTGATATTAGTCCGTAAATTACGTGTCTCTACGAAGTTAAAGATCAAATTAATATAATTCGATTTTTTTTATTTTAAATTATTTTTTACGTATTATTATTTATATGTTTTAGAATTAAAAAATAAAATCACAATTTGTGTTTCGAATCGTAATCCTTGATAGTTAATCAGTTCCCTGGGCTTTGTACAACCGAACTGCAGAAAGACTCAGCTTAAACAAAGACTCAGTTTCTCAGCTGATCGACGTTTAGTCGTGTAAATGAATGGCTCTATTATATTATATCTAGATGCACGGATCTTTTACCAAGTTGGCTACAACATATTCATTATATATTAACTATTTAAAATTTTAAATTTCAATTTTAACAGCTGTGAGTTTAAAAGTCGACCAAGCGATCGCTATTTATATTGTTCTTTGTCTATTAATTTCGGTAACTGTCTGGTAATCTCTATTATATGACGTAACGAGCAACAAGGAGAATAGTTTAATTATTCCATACTATTTCATTCCATAATATTATACATGTAAAAGTAGCTCTGTGTATATGTCAGTTACGCTCACACACCACACCTAACTCACTAAAGTGTTGACTTTAGTGAAATAGAACGTAGGTTGCTTTTTATTGAATAAAAGGGTTGAAATAAGAATTTAAGTTTGTACGGAAGTAATCATGAAACTTTATATAAGGTTTTTTACACAATATAATTAATAAATAAATATTCATTTTTGAAATACAGCCCAACGAAGTCGCGGGCAAAAGCTTATATAGTATAAATAGAAATAAACGTTTATAGAGTGACAGTGCCGAATTTTCTAACTCTTATGAATTGTAGATTTCTACAATTACTTCGAAATGGATTTCTGAGTTCGTTTCTAGGCAGAGCACGTGTTAAAAGAAACAAACATGTTTTTCATCATTTAACGAATACTATTAAGTTTACGAACTGTTTATCTTGTTACAAATGGCTGAGTGAACAACTTGAGCCACTCTCAATCTCAAACAAATCTTTTATAAAATTTTCCTTAAAGTTATTTTTCATTTTAATTTATTACTGTAGATGAAAAAAATAAATCTAAGTACCTATATTTTTATTCAAAATTATGTTTTATTTAGCTTGTTTATGTTTATTTCAATAGTAATGAAGAACCTGTAGATATCTACAGATATAAATTGATAAAAAGTGGTTTACGACCCCCGAGTATAGTATAGCTATATCATAAGCAATGGGTATAGAGACATAATTTTGACTTGCCATGTCCGATGTTGCTAGGTTCCTTAAACATAAGATAATTCTTATTTCATCGATTAGGATATGACTTCTGAAACTGTGAATTGATATTGATGTTAATAATAATCTTCTTCTACGTACGACTACGTATATGAATATTTGGATGATTAAGATCTAGCTTAAGGCAAATATTAATATCCTAATAAGAGAGCAACTTTATAGAGAGCGTCATTATTGGAATGGCCGACAAACACAGAGTGTATATACTAAATATCACATGCTTTTTAAAATTAGTTCAGAAAAACCAATCTAAAACGAAACAACTTTATCTATATGACCATGTTGTTAACCATTTTTATATTATTTAATTAAAAATAATACCTACACACAATCTCCACTTAATTCAAAATATGTTAATTGAATAATTTTTCACCCGTTTCACTAAGTGTTTTAAAGTCGATTCTATTTTTGTGTAAATATAAAAAAAACTTTTCTTATTTATTAAGTCTTAGAGCTTTTATAATTCAATAGTTTACATCTTCAAAACTACTGAAAAGATTTTATAAAGATTTTTGCTGTTTTTTTTGTATTAAGCAGAAAGTTTCACTTTAAAACTTTTGACAACGGACGGACAAAAATATACACACACTTACCAAATTATGTGCGTAAGAGTATGTTTGGAAGCCCTTGATATAAATGAGAATTACACCATTCTTACTAAATTATATACGTACATACAGGTCAAATTGATAATTTCATTTCTATGAAGACGGTTAAAAAGTAAACTTATAATTGTTACATTTTGCCAGCGTGAAATATGTAAATACCCTGTATGTGGAAAGAGGCCATTATATAAAATGATTGAACCAAGTAAAGTGTCTAAAGTATCGTATATTTTTGTTATTTGCATAATTTCTTAGCGTAAGCCGGAACGACATCATTTAGCGTTTAATGGAATATTACTTGTAGTTACTCTGATATTGGATGACGTCAATTTTAAGAAAACGAACATATCATTTCAAATGTTTTCTTTATTGTAAATTTAAAAGTGTATTAGATTTATTTTTATTTGCTATAGCTTTAAAAGATAAAACCGCTCATGAGCAACTTGAAATCGCACTCAGCGGAAAAAAGAAATGAAAAATGCATGCATTATATATTTACTTTGACTCTAAAAATATAGCTCAAATATAAAATTAAAACCGACAGCTTTTATAAGAATATATTATATTTTAATGTAGCAAATTGACGAGCCGAGGATTTATTTTTTTTATGTATTTTTTTATAAGGAATTTTTTTCTGTCTTTCAAAGGACCCTTTTTGATCTCTGAAACAACTGAGGGTGTCAAATTCGCCTATTTTCTAAACAACATAAAAAATTAATTAATACAGCTATATAACAAATAAAATTAAAGATAATTGTAAAGAACTCATAAATATTAGTTTGTTCATAGATAGTTATTTTTATCTAATAAACAATTCGAATGTTTTTGTTTTCTTTTATGGAACGCTATGTTATTTTTCCTAATGCGTTCATTTACAATTCAGAGAGTTTCAAGAATGGTTTACCTTGAATATCTCATCTGTTGCTATGCAAAGTGGATGTTTTGAAATATAAATAGAAATAACTTGTATTCGATAGAAAGAAGACACAATATATCGAAATTGATTGCTATTAAAATCGAGTTTATTGTCATTTATGACAACGATAAATTATAATATAAATCGTTTTATTGTTATTCTTTCAAATGTTTTGAGAGAGAAAATCGTATAAGTTCTCTTTACTTATAGTTTCAACGAATTGTGTCGTATATTATAAAATGATAATAAAACCACGTTGCGATATTTCATCATAAGCAACTGGAAACTTGGACATTCCAAATATTAGTGATCTGGTAGGTAAACAAGTGTGGAATGTTCTTATGAATGCTTTAGATGAGCACACATTAATTACCGAAATATTTGCGAAGGCCCGAAGTCTTTACGTTCGCGATTGGTGATGGCGCCGAGTGCTAGGTACATAATAAGAATGCGGATCTTAATCTTAAGTCTAAATCAAGGTAATAATATGATCAGGTCAGTGGAGGCGAATGTTCACATATTTAGGAAATGATACGCAACGAAAGGGAGCTCATTACTACGAGTGCAATAACAACGTTGACAATGTCTTTGAACAATGAAGAATCTGTATTGATTCGTTGATTTTTTTATATATTTTTTTGCCATTTGAATGTGTTTTAGAATATGTATAATTTTGAATGCACAATATTCCTATGATCTAATACAATTTTTTCAATTTTTATGTATGTATTTCTCGAAAACTAGTGCAATGTTATTTGTGACATTATTTTATTTATAATTATTTTCCAATTTTAAATGAATGAGTTAATTTATTTTTAAGATTTAAAACTATAATGATTTTTTTTAACAGCTTTTTGAGCTATAATATTATTAAAAGGTTTTATATTTTTATTATTTATATTTATATTAAAAGGTTTTATATTATTATATGTTACATAAAAATCGTAAGTAAAGCTATTTATATATTATCAAATAGTTTTGAGAGTGACAATTTTCTTTTCATAAAGTATTTTGGTCCCTATAAATATACATTGTAGCTAGTGCGTTATTAGACCTGCATAAGGAAACTTTAGCTTTCATATTTAACGTACGCTATTGCAGAATTTACAAGTAAGTAGTAGCCATACAAAATAATCACTAAGGTTCTCACAGTGCATTTCATGTTAAAGATTGTCGTAAAATGCAACCTGGGCTATTTGAGAGGCTGTTGAATTGATATAAGGACCTAATGTTCCCACGCACGCTCAAACCACAAATGCCTACATTACATTGTGTTAAGAACGAATGTTGCAACTAATTTCAATTTTGTAGTCTAGATGGCGTTATGGCGAATCACATCGCTATAGTAAAATATTTGTCTTTTTATACAAATTTTTCATTTAAAATAAAGTTCACGTCCTGAAAGTTTCTATCCCCCACGGTCCCTGGGTTTTTGTACCGAAGTTGTACAACGAGTAGTTGGATAGTTTTTGATGCTTTTATAAATATTGAAAGTAAATTAGTAACTTTATGTGGCTTTACATTAAAAAACGTACTTAAAGGAAAATATATTATAATTATCAACTTTGTGTGCTAGATTACTCTAGCTACATAAAATTGCTTACTGTAGCAATAAATAATGTAAATGCCAACAAGATAATTATTATTTGAGAATTAATGTTTATAATTAGAAATTCAAAATAATTCTGCATTTTCTTGCAAAATTTTGCATCTTGAAGTTAAATACCTAGCCTGTAATATTTATTTGGGTGTTAACCGAGTAAAATGCAAGACACTACTAAATTGCTTTGAATATGTACTGAAATTTTAATGTAACTTAAATAAAAAAAAAGTAATAAACGAGCAAAACCTAATGAATCTATCATTAATTACGTAGTTATTTTATTTTAGACAATATGTTTTCCTGCGAATTTGCCCGCCGAATTTAGCTTTCCGTAGGTGAATGAATTTTAAAGTTGATCCAGTAATTTCATGAACTGGTTGATTATTTGTTTGTTGTAAGAAAAAAGTGTCCAAGCTTAGTTTAGACTAAAAGTATAATGGAATTAAAAAAAATGCATGCTAGATAGCATAAAAGAACATTGCTTAGTGTACATTTTAAAACCCCTGAGTAGATCGAGATTATAATTTTTGGTGACCTATCTTATCGAAAGTTGCTTTAAAACAAGGATCGCGGGCCACAACGCTTATTTACTACACTACTGAGTTACACACACAACAATAATAACTGTAAATATTTTTTTCCTCAGAGGGCCAACGAGCTCCGTGTTCCAACGAAGGTGAGCCTGTGCGTTTACAAGACGCTAGGCTCGAGCAAGACTTTAGCAGCTGTTTCCGCTGCATTTGTAAGGTATGTACGTTATAACTGAAACTAACCCAATATATTTATATAGATTTATCGGAAAAATCGTTTCGATAAAACTTAAATATTCACATGAACGTGTAGAAATACGACACTCTCAAACACACAAATTGGCATCTTGAATGGGATTCTTTATTATATTTTGAAGTCTTAGCTCTAAAATGGTTAAGACCAGGTAAATACCAGGGGGTCAATTCTACTAAATAAATTTTGTTTAAATCGAATCGAAAACGAACGAAACTACAGTTTTTAATGGTTTTTCTGTTCCACTAAGTGACATACGATACAATTCCAGCTAAAATAGAAAATAGAAACTGGAAAACCATAAAAAACTGTAGTTTCGTTCGGTTTCGATCCGTTTTCGAATCGATTTAAACAAAATTTATTTAGTAGAATTGACCCCCTGGTATCAATTAACATCACGCCTGAAGTTCTATTATATTTTCCGAAAATGAAATTTCGTTTATTTTTGGAACACTAAAACGACTCCAAAGAAATGTACTTTTCGATAATGTATGATGCCACGTAGGCAGAATCTGACACTCCCTCTGAGGCACAGATAATCTTCACCGGTATATGATTTTAACAAAATTATAAGAACGATTCGATATATTTTTCCAATTTTATACCAAAAGACCAATAGAATAGGCCTTCATGTTAATACGTACGAGTTTATACAATGTATATAGGGATAACGACAAATTTTTGCTTGTTTGTCTGTCAGGTAGATTATTGAACAATATTAAACACGTATCTTTGAATAATTAATATGTTACGGCGATATATTAAGTTTAAAATGTCACACGACGTCATGCTTCTGTACGTTTGCTACAAAACTGTGACGAAGTGAGCCCTCAACTTTAATGTCTATTTATCTAAGCCATTTCTTGAAAAATTGAAGCAAAAAAAAAATACGTATCTAATATTTTTCTATTGTCTGACTGGCAGACTAAATAGGATTTCTTTTCTTTTAACCCAGTCATCATCACTGACCGCAGGCACTTTGTCCATAACATAAAATCTATTAGTACCATTTTTTGAAGATCTTTTACCTATTTAGAGTGAGTTTTATAGAATCATATTAAATATATTTAGATAAATATATTTCATAATGTAACTTACACGCAAAAATAAGATCAAGATTTAAGTTCTTAGATTAAGATTTAATTGTTTCTTATATTTTATATTGAATCAAGGCATGTAAAGTGATGCAAATAAATACTATATCTGTCTTTCTATCTATCTATAATTATTTTTTGTAAAGATTTATACTATTGATTGTTCATTTCTTTTTATAAAATTACGTTATCATATATTTTTTTTACACGAGGTAGTTAGCAAACCTTATTTTAAATGAGCTTAAAAACTTATGATTTCGTTTCGTAATTATGCGTAAGATTTTATCTTAAAATGTTATTTACGATATAAATTTAAATAGTAAAAAATAATAGATTAATATAACTATACAAAATACATAAAAAACATTTATATGCTAAAACACGACCTAATTATAGAGTTCAAAAGTCTGGTCAATCGATGTCAAACATTCTGTAAACAATGTTAATATTTCTATTGGCATTTTACAAGTAGGATCGGCAACAATATTTTTATTTACTTGGAATGTATAGTTACATTTAGGTTTTGTTTTTTCTTTTAATTATTGTCTATTCATAGTCTTGCCAAAAATAGTCCTTGAAAGAAAATTCGGAAAATTTCAAATCGTTCTTATAATTTTTTAAAAAATAATATTCATGAAGACTATCGTTGCTTCAGAAGCAGTGTCAGGTTCTACCTCCGTTCCATTATAAATTATCGGAAATTGCGTTTCCTTGGAGCCGTATTAGCATTTCGAAAATTGATGAAATCTCGTTTATCTGTGAAATAGAATAGACCGCGAGGTGTCTGTTAATTCGTACGAGTAGTACATAGAAAATCAACATTTTTTTTGATTGAACATGATATTTATTACTATAACAGTGTGTTAGTTTAACACATTAATATGAAGCCGTTAAAAATATATATAACTTATTCAAAGCGGTCTATATTGGCTGCAATACAGTAAACGTTTAGGTCAGTTATCAGTAGACGCACGCACTCTTTCCATGGGAAAATTCTTAACTGCCAATCGTATAGATTGTTTAGGGACTCAGAATCGAAGCCTTTAAAACTGACCATAAATCATAATTAAAATCAGAAATAGATGCCAGTGTTGACCTCTAACGAAGTCCGGAACGTTCGTTTCTAATAAAGATTAGGTGTTACAGTATTTTTGGCCAGACAATATTATTCAGTAAGTATATTATTTAAAATATATATATATATAATAAAAGAAGTGTTGTGACACTTCTATGGAAATCAATTGTCAATTCACGATATTGTATAATTTATAAGTTTAAGAAAGTAAAGCATATAGATGATATGTAATGGTCAAAATCATAACCATTCCTTCTTCGTTGTCGTTTAAAAGGAGTCGCGCAGTTGATATAGATGCTCTTTACTATAAGTTATGCGCTATTTATGAGACGCCATTTAAGACACTTTGAACATACATATGTCGTAACATAAGGATATTTAACTTCCAATAAAAATTACTTATTCGGTATTATTAAATAATGGACATTTGATAAATATGACTAGTTTTTCCTTACATGCAGTACTGATAAGTGAATGATAATGATAGTTATATATAACTGTCCACTTCACGTATTAGACATACCTTACAAATAAATTATGTCGTAATGATGTGTCCGTGTTCTGCGTCGGGGTTTTGTATAGATAAAAAACTTATAATTACCTTGCTAAATGCCCTCGAATATCGAACAGATATTTTTAAGAAGATTTATAGGAAAAATGTTCCATAACTTATCACGCGATCTTAGTGTGACGACTGCAGAAGCCTTTATAAAGACTATGTGAATTTAACCCAAATAGAATTTTGCATTTTGATATTATGCAATTTGTTTTTAATATTTACATAAAAAGTAAACTCTATAAAACAGATAAAATATCCTACTCTCTGAACTAACAAAATAATCCAATCAGAAATTGTTGTGTATTTGGTGTTCAATATTCGTTATCTATGACATAAACAACTTAAACAAATTAATGCATTATGTTTCTATCATTCATTCTCTGAACGTAGGCCGTCGTCATATGAGACATTTTTCCAAAGCCACATACTATAGTTCTAATGTTTTGTTTTCGTAGGGTGGCACCTGTACTTTAAGTAATGACTTTCAATTATTTTTTATTCATGCAGTCGTTAGCTACAGCTGACAATAGACAAATATATTTTAAATATTACTTAAAAAGACTGCTTTGGTAAATGTTGAACCTTTTGGTATATTCTAAGATTAATATAGATTATGAATGATCATTATGAATGCGAAATTTCAGTGGCTAGAGTTCAATAACTTAGTTTCAATGATTTTTTTATAAATAATAGTGGTCCTAGCATTATTCCTTGTGGCACTCTTCTTACAATTATTCCAAAATCTATAAAAGAAAACTTTACAACATTGGGAATTTAATATCGTTAGCTGCCAGCCCTAACGTAGGTGATCACGAGGTCGCTAACGAACAGAGCGCGTGCCACTGCATGAGACTGGCGCCCACGCCGCACAAAAACTGCCAATGCGGAACAACTAAGCACCGTCGGCCCAGGAATCTCACTCGACTGTCCTCAACATCATTTATTATTTATCTCCTTACATTCTTTCTAACATTTAATGATTTGAGATACTGCATACATAATGAACAATATGAAAAAGTTGACCTGAAAGAAAGAGCCGGTATAGGAGGATGCTCCATTGGATCGAGATGTATAAAGAATATCTGAGAAAATAATAATAAGTCTGATATACATCAAGATAATGGAAGATGGTAGAGAAAGCCCAGATTCAGCTTCCATGATTCTAATTGTTTACAGATGATCAAAGGGTTATGTTAATTAAAATTAAAAGTTTTAAACCTGTGAAATCGAGCATATAATGTCCGTCCCTTGTCCTTTCTGGCTATCCGCAAGATCCAGCGTCAAGAAAAATTTTAAATGAAAACTTTTTTAATCGAACTCATGTCACAAATATAAACACTGTCATATAACCGGTGACACGAGATTTGTGTGTATGCAAGTGAGCTTGTGTACCATGTGGTATTTCCCATCCGATCTCACCTCGTCAGATGACTTGCGCGGAATTCGAAAGCCCATCGCGAGATTTATCGCTTATTCTGTTTTAATATATACATTTGCCTATCTAATGGGCTTTTTTGTCGCGTGCCGCATAGCGACCGGTGATCCCGTCCCGTTGATGGAGTTTTTATGATTTATATGTATTCTTTATAGACAAGTGGAGCGAAGGTGGGCTAGATAAATATATTCTATTTTGCATATGTTGTGTGTAATTTATTATATAGTCGTGCTCGTGGTCGATGGCAGGTGTGAGTCGCATTTACCTAAGGTACTATTAGCCTCCTTATAATGCCCAGTAGCTGTTCGATAGCATCTCGCAGCTCCCGCGCATCGCTTACTTTAATGAGCAATGTCATTTAGCGGCATGGATTAGTGATGCGACTCGAATAGATTTTATGTTTCGAATCACTCGAGCTTATTAACTACCTCACACTAGTTATACTCTAGTATTGGAGTCTGTATTACAGTTTGCAATTCGACTGAGGTTTATTATAGTAATTTTAAACATATACCTATATAATGTAAAATTATACACGGCTGCACGTTAGGTTACCACAATATGTCAAATTTCCACAGTGGATTTTCAATCCTCAATAGATTAGGATTTAAAATAAAGTGGAGAAATTCGACAGTTTTATATAGTCTGACGTTCTGTTGATTATATGATATAAAATAAAACACACATTAAAGAGTTTTCACATTTTATTTATTTTAGTAATCGACAAAATAAAAAATGCAGCATAAATAAATAAAGTAAAGTAGCGAAGTGACGTCTAGTGGCAACAGATACGATAACTAG